TCTCTGTTTATGGTTTCACTCTTTCGTAAATATATTTTAATGTTTCCTTTGTGAATATTGCTTTTGTTTACAATATAAAAGAGTTTTTATATAATATATAGTCTAGTAATACTAAAGATTTTCTTATACCATCTGACACTATTACTGAAGTAAGTATTGTTAATTAGTGAACTTTTAAAAAGTGTTGAAGAAAGTTGTTTCATTGGAGAGTTCTAATAAATGCCAGTTTGGATTTTAATTTGGAGTTGATGATTTGTATGAATTTTTGCCATACTTACTAATTTATTCTTTGAATTAAAGCAGAAAAGTTAATTTTAACTATTCTTCTGGAATATTCAGGGACTGATTATAAAATTTTCTTATTGCTTCTTATTTCAATAGTGTTATAGTTTAAACTCCATTAAACAATATTGAATATTGCAAATAAGATAATACCTGATAGACATGAATTGATGAGTTATACTTTAATATTATTTATAATTAGATTGTTTTGATAGAGTTGAATGTACTGTAAATATGTTGTTATAACCTGATTTTATATAATAAAATCTGAGAGAAGAGTTGAAAAGAATATTAATTTCCTGTAGGATGTGCTCACTATTTTGAAGTATGTTAGTGACTTCATCTAAAATATTAAATAGTAGTATTTTTTATTGTTAAAGAAATTAAATGATACCTATAGTATTGAAGCCACTGTGCTTGTAAATTCTAGCCAATAAAAGCCATGAGAAAAAGATCTGACTGGATACTCTGGACATCTGAACAAATTATTGTTAGAATCAATAGTAAAGTGTTTTCCTCTAAACAATATTTTTTCATATATTTGTAAGTATCTTTTGCAAGTTTTAACTATTGCATTAATACTGTATAAAACCAAAATGTTATTTTGGGATTTGAGACTGGGCTGTGAGAACTAATTATATTTTTGATGTTCGTAAATACTTCGAACTAGTTAAGCTCTGAACTGAGATGAATAATACCTGTATAGATAGCAAGTTGCAATCATGTAAGTTGGTGATACTTCTGAATTTTAGAAGTTAATTGGTAAATTTTATGTTAAGAGCATTTTGCTATATTAATTGCTGTTTTCTTAAGTCATCTAAAGTATAGTAAACAAAAAGTCAATTGAGTTTTCAGTATTGTCAAAGTGGAATAAACATTTTGCTAGGTATATTTGGATTTTAAGATCTTTGACTAATTTTGTTGCATAAAAAATCCAGCTATTTTGATTAAATTTTTCTGGACTGCAAATAAGACAGAATCAGATTGCTTATTTTTTTTGAATAAATTGAATATCTTATATTGTGTATTTCCTGATAGATAGAATTGAGAGCTTGGATATTAAATTGCTTATTAATAAGATTTTTTGTCTTTCTTCTAATGCCATTAGATAGAGATCCCCATGGCTTATTAGGATTATGTTAGAACATTTGAAAGAGATTTTGTAAGCAAATTTTATTAGTTTGTTAACTTTGATTTGGATAATAAATATAAAATTTTTTAAATAATAATATTATAAATTATATTTATATTATTAATTTAAAAAATTTCAATTATAAAAAAACTCTTTTCCATATATAACATTTTTTTAAAAATTTTCTTTTATAATAATTTTTCAAAATTAAAGAAACAAATATTTCTTTCACCTTTACTATTCAAAAATCCTTAACACTTCCTTTATTTTCTCTATAAGAGTTATAAAGAAATTAAAGAATTATATTGATATATTGAAATGAGATCTCTAATTAAGAAAAACAAGTTTGAAAACCTTGCTCTTTTTTTGAATTGCATGAAAAAAAACTTCTTTATATTTTTTCCTTGAACTCTTTCTATTTTTTTTTTATCAATATACAAATTTTATTAAATAAACATATTTTTTTTGAAAGATTGTTTTTTATTTCAAAAAATCAAACATCATATCAAAATTGTTTATATTGTTGGTTTAGAAACCAGTAGTATATTCAATATTTATTTTTCAATAATACTAAGTATATTTTATTATATCATAAAAAATCAAAAAATTTTACTCAAAAAAATTTCTTATCAAAAATCATAATTAATTTGATCTTATTAATGGATTATTATTTTAAACATAGCTAATCAAATATTATTAAATATCAAAACAAATCCATATATCTGATATATCACACTATAATTAATAAAAACAAAACCATTTTTAATAATAATAATCAAAACAAAATAATATATTTAATTTATTTCTCAGTAACTAGTATAAACAATATCATAATAATTATTATAATCACAACAACTACATCGCCACTCTTTCTTAAATACATATAGTTATCATAAAAGGAAACACAAAAGTAAAAGGAAAATGAGTGCAAACAGAAGTCTCAGAAGCTCCAACCTGACTGTCAGGCCAACTACAACCTAGGAGACATGTTTAAGGGAAGAAACAATATGAAAAACAGAAAAACTAAACCATACTTAATTCAAAAACCCAGCAAAAAACAAGGAAAAACTGAAACAGAAGCAATATCCCAAATCCCAATACTATTATCCAAGGCTGCAGCCCAGCAGAAACAAGCAACAGTAAAAACACAAAATAATAAAATAAGTCATGAAAATACATGGAGCCAAATAATGGAAGAAGAAATGGAAGAAACATTCACTAGCATAAAGACCTGCATGGAAGAGAAAACATATAAAAAGCTACAACAGACCAGTGAACAGCAAGCCTTGGAGAAACATCAAATATTATCCTTTGGGAGATATGTTAGTATTAATAATAGTGACAAAGACATATACATATTAGACCCAGAAAACCATGACTATCAGAAACATGGAAACGAATAGCAAACAGTCAATAAAAAAAAGAAAAAGCAGAAAGAACAAGCAACAAGCCTAGACTCTACTTCCCGTTCAATTGTATGGTAAGGTATGGTAGACAAAGAAGCAAGATTAGAATCCCAGTAGTGAAGTCTCTGGCACTACATTCTGGCAGAAAATAATATATTACTAAAGCCCTAGAAGCACCCAAAGGCCTCCTTGCAATTCACAAAAAGGGAAAAAAAGATGAAGAGTCGATCATAGCCATTTTCAGAGATCAGTAAGCTGCAGAAAGAACAAGCACAATCAAATTACCAGGTTTGGAAAACAAGTACATGGAACATATACCAGATACCAATCCCTATACAAATAAGTAAAACAGTATCAGAGTATAGAATTTCTCTCTAGATGCCAAACTCATAGACATATAATAAACATTTACCAAATTTGGACAGATTACTGACATCAGTATGAGTACTCAATGCATGTGGCAAACAGCTATAGTTACTTTTCAAGAAAAAAGTATCAAGAAAAAACTAGTTAACACATGAAATACTTCCTTTAAAGCAGATTCAATCAGAATTTTCGATGAACAATAAAGCCTTGAGGAAATGAAAGCCAGGGGCAATATTGCTGCCAAATTAGTTAATCTTCCTTCAAACACAACAGAATTTGACCTGCATGTCATCTGTCAACAAATTAAAGCCAAAACCTGTTACATTCTCAGAACAGGGAGTTATGTCATAAAAAAGTAGCAATTATTAGCTTCAAAAGCCAACAGTGCTTAAAGAAAGCAATAGTACAAGACTTTGTCCTAGGTGAGACACAAATTACATGAACCCAGATTGACACAAAGACCTGTATCATATGTGACGCGCATACACATTTAGCAGTTGACTGTTCAAGCAAACAAAGATGACAACAGTGGAAGGAATATAACAAAGAACAAGCAGACAAGTTTGATAAATTGTATCAGAAATTCAAATCAGCAAAAACAACAAACATCAGAAGAACTATAGATACAATCACAAAAGGAAAAAAAAGCAGC